TGCTGACAGCTCAGAGCCTGGAGTCTGTTTCAGATGCTGTGTCTTCCTCTCTCTCTCTCTCTGTCTCTGTCTCTCTCAAAAATAAATAAATATGAAAAAAAAAAAAAAGGATCAGACAATTAACTGAGCCACCCATGCAACCCTAACTGATAAGGATTTTTAAGTATAATCATAATTCCATTATAATTTTTAACAAAACTTACCCAAAATTCCATAGAATCTCTAACATTTAGTGTCAGTTTAATTTTCTGTCTCAGAAATGCTTCTCTATCAGGATGCAAACAAGGTCCACACGACATTACAGTTGGCCAATATGTCTCTTGAGTCTCCCTCTCTCTCTTTTTTTTCCTTCTCTTAAGTCTCTTAAACAATAGTTTGCCAGGCTGCCTCCTTTTTCTTAAGGCTGTGTATCTGTTGAAGAAACAATCATTTGTCCAGAAGAATTTTCCACGATTTGGATTTGGTGTCCCCGCGGAGTTACCTCACGCTTTCCCTATTGCCTCAGTCCCTAGTCTCCTGTAAATGGGAGGGAGAGCTTGGGGCTTGAGTAGGTTCAGGTGGAAATTCGTTCTCTTTCCTGTCAAGAATTCATCAACTTCGGTCTCCTTGAAACACTCGTGGCCTCCAGGATACTGTATCCCTTCTTCTCTGGCTGCTGTTTTCTCAGTCTCCTTTACTGGCTCCCTCTCTCTTCTCAGTCGGCCTGCATCCTTAAGAGGGACTTCCTCTGATCTCCGTCCTGAGTCTGCACCTTCCTCTTGCATGGGCTCATCCTTTCTTCCAAGTCATTAACCAGCTCACAGCTCTCACAGGGGTACATCCAGCTCTACCTGTTGGACAGCTGTGGACACCTCCCCCCAGGGCCACCTCCAGTGTCATGCCCCACACGATTCCATCTCCCGTGGATTCTTCCTCTGAAATCTCCTTCCCAACCCCTCTGGGAGAGCCACTGCAGCCCCCGGGGGGGGGGGGGGGTCTCCACTCAGCAGGTGGTGTTCCACATTCAGATCTGACCACTCACGCATCTCCTCCCTGCTTTATACCCTTCCAAATCACTAACCCATCCTTCCCTTGCCCCTCAGGCCCTGCTCCCTCCCTCATCTCTTGCTGCTATGTTCCTGCTGTCTGGCTCCAGCCACATGGCCCTGCTGAGAGCTTCTTAGACATGTTGTGCAGTTTCCTCTACTGGGGACACTTTGTATCATCCCTCTCCCTACTCCCTTCCCCTGACTGGCTTACTTTCTGAGACAGCACCTCCTTTCTAAAACCTTCCTAATGCCCCTCCCAAGGATAAGCTGTCAGAGTCCAACTTGCCAGCAGCGGGAGGCAACCTAGGGAAGGGCAGGTCAGGTGGGTGGGTCACGGTACCCCAGGGCCCACTCCCCATGTACCTCCTATTGTTTGCTATGCCCTATTTCTAATGGATACCTCATGCTCTCCTGACAGTAACGAGTTCAGCAGGCTGGTGGCTGGGGAGTATCTCAGTTTCTTCGACTTCTCAGGCCTGACTCTGGACCGAGCGCTCAGGTCAGTGGGGTTGGGATGGGGCGGTGCCCACAGGTGGTACAGGCCACTGTCTGGATTCTCATGCCAGCTGTATCCTAAACTTGCTGTGCATCCTTGGGCAAGTCTCTTGACCCCTCTGGGAAGGCTGTGGAGAAGGGGCCATGAGCACGTCAGCAGTCCAACAACTCAGTGAGTGCCTGCTATGTGGTGGGCTGAGGATATGAAGATATGAAGGTGGGAATGTGGGCCGGACTTTTAAGAGAGGCAAGGGCAAAGGGCTTGCCTGTATTGAGTACTTCCTGTTTGCCAGAGGCAGTAGATCTTTATACTCCCTGCTGACTTCATTCATCCTCACCACACCCCTGTAGGGTAGGGTTATCTTTGCCATTTACAAATGAAGAACCAGCTGATAGGTAAAGTGATTCCCTTCAGTCACTGAGGGGGGAGATGACAAAAATGGGATTTGATCTCAGGTCCTATTGGTGTTTGGACAGAGTATCTTTCAGGAGGGTCAGGTACAGGCCTCGGTGTGGGGAGGAGTGGATGGAGTTCCGCCCAGGGTCTAGCAGTCCTTGGTGGCAGGGCCCGCGAGGAGTCACCAGGCCACAGCCCTAGGGGCGGGGGACAGCAGTCTCTGAGCTAAGTGGGGGGTGGTCCCAAATGTTAGATCTCACCATGTCCCACATGTCTCTTACACTTAAAAAAATGTATTTTCCATTCTTTTTTCTCTACTTCGCTTGGGATATTTTCTGTTGACCTGCTTTTAGTTCACTTCTCCTTTTTTCTGTGTCTAATATTCTGTTAAACCCATTTACTGAGTTTTTACTTTTAACTATTATATTTTTCAGTTCTAGATTTTCATTTTGTTATTTTTTAATTTTTTAATTTTTAAAAAATATTTTTACTTAATTTCATACCCAACATGGGGCTCAAACTCACAATGCCGAGATCAGGAGTTGCATGTATATCTGACTGAGCCAGCCAGGTGCCGCCCAATTTTTAAAAAATAGATTCTAATTCTCTGGGGGAATTTATTCTCATCTTTTCACGCATTTTCTCCACCGTTCCCTCTCTTTTTGAACAGAAATATATATATTATATATAATAAATATATTTTTATATATAAAATATATATTATATATATACAAAATATTTTTAAAATGTTTGTTTTTGAGAGAGAAAGAGAGAGAGCATGCAAGCAGGGGGAGGAGCAGGGAGAGGGACAGAGGATGCAAAGTGGGCTCTATGCTGACA